TGGGGGGTCAGGGGAAGCAAACATGATCTTTCATTTGTCTGAGTTGTTAGCAGCATTTCTGAGAAAAAGACTGTAGAGAGAGGACTGTGGCTCACTGGCTAGGTTTAGGCTGTGGTCGCAGGGGTTGTAGTTAGGACAGTGGCTCAAGAATTAAGATCTGAGTTTGAAATGGGGGCTCTCCTGTTGACCTGCTGTGGGTCTTGGTGAATCACTGAACTGCCCCATGACTTGGTTTTTCTAGCTGTAAAACAGGGGTGACAATAACTTCATAGTTTATTAAGCGGTTCTAGCACAGAAGGGAAGCTACAGTGTAATCTGCTATTGTTGTGACTTTACGCGCAACTTTCTGTAGAAGCTGCAACCCCGTCTGGCAGCACAGGACAGGGAGAAACCCAATGGACCAGCAAGTAGGAGACCCAGATTCTGGTTCTCACTAAGTAGCTGTGTGACTTTGGATAGATCACTTACCTTGTTTTCTTTCCTGTGAAATGAACAGCTTGAATTCACTGATGTTTGAAGTTTTTTTCTTTCTCACACACTGATTCTAAGGTAAGGCTTCCAATTAGAATTGGTCCAGCTTTAAGGCCCACTTTGATCTCCTGTCTTTTTACCAAAGCCCAGGGTCAAGCATGTCCTAAGCATTTATACCTACAGTTGCTTACGGATGAGAAGTGGGGACTGGAATCGTGTCTGTATCAGCCACTAAGAATAAACCAAGTAGGGTTTGGGCAGGGATGAGAATCCCATGGGAAGTCCTAGAAGCTGAAGAATACTCCCCCATCAGAAGCTGGTCTGGGGTTTCTCTGATGGATTTGGAGAGTTCAGGGCTTGTCCTGTTTTTCTGCCTCTGCTCACCAGCCTCCTTACACGTTCAGGAAACCAGCAAAACCATTGAATGTTGAGACCTTTATGAAAAAGGCTGCAGAGTCCCTGCCATGGCTGGTGGTCAGAGCAGTGTCTGACCTTGCTTCTGCGGGCAGGTTAAGTGGGGACTAATTCCCCTTCTGTCTTTCCGAGTCAGGCACAGTCGCAGCGGGGACACCTGCTCTGGGGTGGTTACTAACGGAGGCCCAGAAAAGGGAAGCATGTTAAAAGACTTTCTGTTCTTCATCTTAAACCCCATCCAGGCAGGCCCTCGGACATTCATAGATATACAGCACAAAGGCATTTAGGACTTTTGTGAGGGTGGGCGTGCTAGTTTCCTCAGGCTGCTGTAACAAATGACCACAAACGAGGTGGCTTACAGCAACAGAGATTTATTCTCTCGCAGTTCTGGACGCCAGAATTCTGATATCAAGGTGCTGACAGGGTCAGGCTCCTCAAAAAGCTCTTCAAGAGAATCCATTCCTGGCTTCTCCCTGCTTCTCCTGGGTCCAGGCATTCTTTGGCTTGCGGCTATATCACTGCAATCTTTGTCTCTGCCTTCACGTGGCCTCCTCTTTTATCGTCCCCTCTTCTGTATCTTATAGGGATACTTATTGGATTTAGTGACACCTGGGTAATCCAGCATGATTTTAGTACACGATCCTTAATTGTATCTGTTTTCCAAATGAGGTCACATTCTGAGACATAAACATGCCTTTTTGGAGGGAGTTACTTCAACCCACTATGGGTGGGTGTATAGGTAGAGGGAAAATTTAGAAAGACAAGCAGCCAACACTTGCACCCCAATCCCATTCACCCATTCTGAATCACGGTACTCCCAAAAGGTACCCCAGTCCTTGCCATGAAATTCCTACAACACTTTTAGCTGGAGTTGATCAATAAAGATGTGAGGATATGAGCAAGAGGGATCCAGGATCCCCATGGTTATGTTTTACTTGTCTTTTTACCAAAGCCCAGGGTCAAGCATGTCCTAAGCATTTATACCTACAGTTGCTTACGGATGAGAAGTGGGGACTGGAATCGTGTCTGTATCAGCCACTAAGAATAAACCAAGTAGGGTTTGGGCAGGGATGAGAATCCCATGGGAAATCCTAGAAGCTGAAGAATACTCCCCCATCAGAAGCTGGTCTGGGGTTTCTCTGATGGATTTGGAGAGTTCAGGGCTTGTCCTGTTTTTCTGCCTCTGCTCACCAGCCTCCTTACACGTTCAGGAAACCAGCAAAACCATTGAATGTTGAGACCTTTATGAAAAAGGCTGCAGAGTCCCTGCCATGGCTGGTGGTCAGAGCAGTGTCTGACCTTGCTTCTGCGGGCAGGTTAAGTGGGGACTAATTCCCCTTCTGTCTTTCCGAGTCAGGCACAGTCGCAGCGGGGACACCTGCTCTGGGGTGGTTACTAACGGAGGCCCAGAAAAGGGAAGCATGTTAAAAGACTTTCTGTTCTTCATCTTAAACCCCATCCAGGCAGGCCCTCGGACATTCATAGATATACAGCACAAAGGCATTTAGGACTTTTGTGAGGGTGGGCGTGCTAGTTTCCTCAGGCTGCTGTAACAAATGACCACAAACGAGGTGGCTTACAGCAACAGAGATTTATTCTCTCGCAGTTCTGGACGCCAGAATTCTGATATCAAGGTGCTGACAGGGTCAGGCTCCTCAAAAAGCTCTTCAAGAGAATCCATTCCTGGCTTCTCCCTGCTTCTCCTGGGTCCAGGCATTCTTTGGCTTGCGGCTATATCACTGCAATCTTTGTCTCTGCCTTCACGTGGCCTCCTCTTTTATCGTCCCCTCTTCTGTATCTTATAGGGATACTTATTGGATTTAGTGACACCTGGGTAATCCAGCATGATTTTAGTACACGATCCTTAATTGTATCTATTTTCCAAATGAGGTCACATTCTGAGACATAAACATGCCTTTTTGGAGGGAGTTACTTCAACCCACTATGGGTGGGTGTATAGGTAGAGGGAAAATTTAGAAAGACAAGCAGCCAACACTTGCACCCCAATCCCATTCACCCATTCTGAATCACGGTACTCCCAAAAGGTACCCCAGTCCTTGCCATGAAATTCCTACAACACTTTTAGCTGGAGTTGATCAATAAAGATGTGAGGATATGAGCAAGAGGGATCCAGGATCCCCATGGTTATGTTTTACGTTGAATCTGTAGATTGCTTTGGGTATTATGGTCATTTTAAGAATATTACTTCTTCCTGTCCTTGAGCACAGCATATCTTTCTGCTTTTTGTACTTGTCTCTTTCATTAATGTCTTGTAGTTTTCAGTATACAAACACCTTCATTAAATTTATTCCTAGGTATTTTATTTTCTTTGATGCAATGGTAAATGGGATTGTTTTCTTATTTGTCTTTTTGATAATTCATTATTAGTGCTTTTAATCATTTTGTACCTGAACATGCCACAGGATGCCACACCTTTCCATTTGTACCCATGGCTGGCTGGACTGAAAGAAATCCTTAGAGGAGCACAGCAGGTTGGGTTGGGTCATATAACATGTGTAGCTTTAAAAAAATCCGCCAGGTGATTCTACCATACCCTGTGTTTTGTGCCCTCTGCTTTCCCTGGCTTTCCCTTAGAGGAGCCCTTCCAAAATATTTTTCTTTATCCTACCAGTCAAAACATAACTTTAGTCAGTGAGCTGTGCTTATACCTCTGCACTTATACCTCTACTGCTTTTATTCTTATTAGAAATTTGTCACTGGTCCTTTGTTACATTTTTAGCCATACTTACATGTAAGTTGTTTAAAATGTTTGAAAAAATTTTCTAAATTTTTGAATCAAAATTTCATCTGGGCAGTGAAATGTATACATATAAGTTGGTTCTTATTGAAATGTTACTTTCTCGTCCCTTTTGAGTCATTTCCATTTTCCTCTTTCAATCACTAAAACTTAGACAACAGAAAAGAAAACACCTCACTGTGGGAAAATATCAAAGCAATTTTATCATTTACAGAAAGTTTTACTTTAATTTAATAATTCTCCAAACACCAGTTAACTATTTTTGTAATTTTTTTCCTGGCAAAACATACATTACATAAAACTTGCCATTTTAACCATTTTTAAGTGTACAGTTCTATGGCTTAAGTACATTCACACTGTTGTATGATTACTACCATCTATCTCTAGAACTTTAACATTTTCCTCAACTGATACTATGTACCCATTAAACACTAACTCTCCATTCCTCCTCCTCTCAGCCCCTGATAACCATCATCCTACCTTGTCTTTATGAATTTGACTACTTTGGGTACCTCAGATAGGTGGAATCACAATATTGTCCTTTTGTTACTGGCTTGTCTCTCCAAGTGCAATGTCTTTAAGGTTCATCCACCTTGTATCTCAGCCCCTGATAACCATCATCCTACCTTGTCTTTATGAATTTGACTACTTTGGGTACCTCAGATAGGTGGAATCACAATATTGTCCTTTTGTTACTGGCTTGTCTCTCCAAGTGCAATGTCTTTGAGGTTCATCCACCTTGTAGCATGGATCAAAATGTCCTTCTTTTTTAACATTGAATAATATTCTATGTATGTATATACAAACCTTGATTAAACTGTTCCTCCATTGATGACACTGAGGCTGCTTCCACCCTTCACCTATTGTGAATAATGCTGCTACACACATGGGTGTAGAAATACCTGTTTGAGTCACTGCTTTCACTTCTTTCGGGTGTATCCAGAAGTGGAATTCCATATAGCATTTAGAAAATCATAGAACAGAAAGGGATTTTGGTGTTTCATTTTTTATTTCCATTCTTTGAATTAACCATAGATATTAATACTTTTTTTTGTTTTGCTTTTTCTCCAGACAGGAGTTATTTTATATGCATTGCCAGCTATCTGATTTTTGCCACGGGCCTTCCCGAATCATAGCCTCTTTTCCTAGTCATATCAGTTCATACCCTTCACCCTCCTGCTGGTAATATGTTTTAAGCTGCGGCCAGGTGAATAATATAAACACCACCCTGGAGGGACAATGCATGACAAAAATGGTGCCCCAGTGCCCTGAACTACCAATTAGATGATGGATGTCACTGACTCTAGGAGGCAGTTGCTTGGGGGAAAAGAAACCTGATAGAGTCATCTTACCTAAACACTCTACCCCCACAGCGATACACACAGACGAAACATCTAAAAAAGCAAGCAGAATTGTTTGTCTTATCTTACCCTTCCCAGATTGCTTGTGATGTTGCAGTCAGCTGCGGTGTTCTGGTCTACAGCCCTACATCCCCTGTGTCTTGCTGCCTTCTTGTTCATCTTAGATCTCCTATGATCACAACCATAAATAGAACAAATGTTAATACACCTCCTGCCATGATTAGGGATACTTGGACATAGGTAAATCACTAGGGTTAGGTGGAAAGCTGCTTGGATCAGGATCAGAATAGGAAACTGTAAGTTTTGCATACGAGCTGAGAATTTAAACTCAAAATAGTAATGGTACAAAAAAGGAAAATATAGTTCTTACGGTGTATTGAAGAAAACGTAACATGTAGAGTCAGAAAACAGGTTTGGTTCTCCTTTCTACCACGTGCTTGAACTTAGTTTTCCTTCTGTAACAGTAAGAATGAACCAGGCTTTAGGAAGATCAAATGAGCTATTGCATATGAAATTTTTTTTAAATGTGATTATTAGTTTTAATAATAGAATCAGTTATAGATGCAGAATATCAAACTCCAGAATTGTTTTCCCAGCTATACAAATATACATAATTGTGCAAGAAACATCGAAGTCACTTGCACCTTAGAATAAGTGACGTTATTAAAGCACAGACTTGAAACTAGATAGTAGCAAAGTACCAAGAACTAGAACTAGCCTGTAAGCAAGCAGTCACCACAAGAAAATGAAGGGACGCACGGATGAATGAGTAAGTGAAAAACCAGAGCAGCTGATGCCATGAGATACCTTGGAAAGATGAGGGGACATGAGAAAAGAGGGTGGTAAGGGGTTAAGAGCAGGACACACACCATGCAAAGCTTGCAATTGAGAACATCACAGTTTTAATGAGGAAAGGTGCAACCACCCTAAAGAGCCCCATGATGACAAAGGTGAGAGAAGTTGCTCATCTCATGGCAGAATCTTGTTACTGTGACTTATAAAAGAGAAAAAGTGAGGTCAGAGGTGTGAGGTGATTATATTTTTAAATTCTGATTAATAAATGCTAAATGCATTTTCCTCAAATTTCAAAAGGAAAGACAGAATAGGAATGAGAAGGGGAGATGAGGAAGAGGTTTCCACACTGTCTTGTTCTGTAGAGTGAGGTTTCCAAACTTGACCCATCTCTGTTTGTGGTATCTTCCCTAATCCTCCATGTCTAATGTCTGAGTATTTACTTCCTTTGTATCCTAGTCTGAATCCCTCACCAACCAGCAGCTGCTGCCTGTCTTTGTTAATTTGTTGAAGCCTTCCTCTTCTCAGTAGTTCTTCTCACACTGAACTTTTCATATGCTGAGAAGGAAGTCTTTAGAAAACCATACAGAAGGCCTCTCCCCTGACCCCACTCCAAGTAGACCTTCCATTTTCAGTTTCTAACTTGTTGTCAAGTGCAGAAAAGGGCCTCAGTGCCTAGGCTCCTAGTGTGTGTGTGCGGTTGTTATAAAAGGGAACAGAACATTTCTGTTTTATTTTTCCATGTCAAACAGTATATTCCTCAGCTGTAAAGAATTTTTATTTCAAATTTCATATTTTTAGCAAAGTCAGTTTTCTTTTGCTGGCTTATACTATTTATATATGAAAAAAGAATTACCACAAGAAATAGTTGATGGAATTAAGATCTCTGTGAGGTGACAGAGTTGAAAGTACAGGAAAAATGAAAGGACTGATATTGTATTATGAGAAATAAAATTAAATTTAGCCTAAGACAAAATAAGCCACAAGTTAGATACCCAGGAAAACACTTCAGTTAGTCCAAATGTAAATTCCTCAGACACTATCTTCTAATTTGCTATATTTAGTTAATGCAGGTTAAGTGAATTATACCGTAAGCAAATGCAAGCTAAATTTGCTATTAAAACTGTATAAAATGGAATAACAAAACAAGTAGTTCCAGGACTGTTGTTCTATATGAATTACATCCAATTGTATATTTTCTATATCCTATCATCATTTATTAGAATCAAGGAATAAAAAACTTAGCAGAACAAACTTCAAAAACACATAGTCACATTTAACTTCCTTATCTATTTATGCTTAAGCCATCAGACACCATGCTAAAGTCAAAACTGTTTGGCCAGGAGTTATTTGGCAGGATAACCAGGAAGAGAAGGTTGGAAGATTCTAATTTACGATGGTGATTTTAAAACCTGGTCTTTAAAGACAAAGGGTACACAAAAGGCTCCTTGATCAATGTACCTTTAGAGTTCAAGGTGACACAACATTTGGGAGGTGGGCCATCACCATCTAAGCTTTACCACTTGCTAAACAATCTTGCTTCCTCTCCTTCAATCCACTAGAAGAAAGAACACAATAGAAACAAGAAAGATTCAGAGCATCAGGTGCCTGAGATAATGCAGGAGGGAAGGGTGATACACAGTAACATCTGTAGAAGTTTTCAGCCAGGGTTCTCAGGCCAGCCTCCTGGGGAGAGGTGGCTAAGTTCACCTGTGCTGAAGGAAGCAAAACACACAGCTACCGGAGAGCTCCCCTCATGCCAGGTGTTTTCTTCTTAACTGCATTACAGCTCACAGGGCTGGTGCTGGGCTTGTCTGCAGTTCCATCTCCACCCTCACAGCTACCGAGACAAACGTAAGGGGTTTGTCTCCCAATCAGAGCTGTCACCATGGCTTCCGCCCCCCAGAGCCTCCTACCTGCGCCCTTGCCGAGTGTGCAACAGCCTGATCCTGCCCCAAGAACGCAATCTGTGGTGAGAGGCACGTTCCCACATCCTGTCAAAAAGGGGCCTGGTGCTTCCTTCAGCCCCAGAGACTCAGCCAACTGGAATCCATCACGGCCCATTCGCAAGGAAGTAGAGATGTTAGACAGACAGCTCTTAAAAATAGATTCATGACTGGGGTTCAGCACTCTTTAAGAAGCTAAGTTCCCTATGTTGTACACCTTAAAGCAATGTGATACTGTGTATCAACTATACTTCAGTCAAAAAACAAAAAAGGAAGCTAAGGCAATTACTTCCCCAACTAGCATCTGTGTGATCAAGAATGGCGAAACTCAAGTAAAGGCTGTCCATCAGCCAGTGTGTTTGATAGAGATCGTGGAAAGAAATGCGCATTAGAGAGTGCTTGTCCAAGGGGGTGGAAGCAGAGGGGTGCTGTTTTTGAGGAAGGAAAATAAAAACAGGTCCCTGCTTTTACATCTCAATCAGAAAACAGAGTATACACATTAAGTAGTATTAATCTGTAATACAGCACACATATTAATCATGATTATTAAGACCTAAGTATTTAATTAAATAATTAATATTTAAATGTTAGTGGGGATAAAAAAAGGTTTACTCAGTTTCACTGTGTCTAGTGGAATTTGCCATCTACCATCTTGTGAAAGATTGTCACAAGTACTGGATTTTCATTAACTCTATCTTCACAACTAAAAGCAATTAGGGAAGTTTTATTATGTAATTTCAAAAAGAGTTTGAAGAAAGTTCATTTTCAGATTAAATCAGCTCCTTTTTCCAGTTTACTGGGCATAGCAGATCAAGTCTCTTTAAAGAGATAAGACAATTTACGGATGTGTGTGTGTGCTCATAAGAGGTGGAAGGCTTGGTTATGGGAAGTGTATATGTTAATTTCTTTAATCTAGGCAATATAATCCACTGAGGATGAATATCATTGCTCTGTGAAAGTTTGAACTCCTTAAGTCTATTACAAATTTTCACCAGCCTGTTTCCTATCCCAAAGATGTTAAGTTTGACATAGGGAAAAACTTTCTATCTTCTCAATCTTTTTGTTATATTTTCTTAATCAGTCCTTAGCTGATTAGGTCCTAAGTCTGACAACATGAGCCGTCACCCCTGCTGAAGCTGGGCCCCCCATGCAGCACACAGTCATCACCTGCTTCCTTCCCGCTTCCTCTCCCCCGGCTACAACCTCTGCAGCCATGGCAGGATCCGGGCTGGCTTCCTGGCTTCCTGGAGGTTTTTTCCCTTCACGTACACCCTCCTTACAAGCTCGTGTTTTTCCCTGATGCCACTGTATTTGAGGTCCTGTTACGGGTATGGTGGCAGTGGCAGGAACTAATTTCATTCCATGAAAAGAACCAGCAATTAGGCCCAAATAAGTCATGAAAAGTGACATGTTATCTCAACATAACAGTAGAAAAGAAATCCACACACAGTAATATTGATGGATGATGAAGGAAAGAAAGAGAGAGAGAAGGAAGAAGGGAAGGAAGGAAGGAAGGAAGGAAGGAAGGAAGGAAGGAAGGAAGGAAGGAAGGAAGGAAGGAAGGAAGGAAGGAAGGAAGGAAGGAAGGGAGGGAAGGAGGGAGGGAGGGGAAAGAAACCAATAATCAATCAATTTGGGTAAACTATTGTTATTTACTGTCTCCTTCATGATTAAAAAAATTGCATGCCGTCAAGTGAAATCATTTTCTTCTCTTTCTCCATGGGTTCTGTCTAAGGAAGAATAACAGTATCAAAAGAGTGGTTTGTTTTCCTCATGCTTTAATTACAAAAGTATACAGACACATCTTAAGGAGGTAAAATCAGGCTGCAGTTATTTTCAATTCATCAGTTACCTGTGGTTCATGGATGTTTTCTTTCTTTTGTGCTTTACAAATGAAACTTTACAAAGATGAGACTTTCAAAGACAAGGGCTTTAAAAACAATCTCTAATGGCAGCCTTTTGTATTATTTAGTGTGTACACAGTTATTTATCAGTTTTAGAGTGTATTATAATATAAAAATTAAAATCAGACTCTCTGGTAAGGTGTTTTGAGTAATTAGAAGCAAAGGATTAGCTCAGGGCTTCTCATCCTCAGCACTATTTGGACTGATACTCTTTGTAACAAGAACTGTCCTGTGCTCTTGAGGGTGTTTTGCAGCATCCCTGGCCTCACTCAGTGGATGCCAAGAGCACTCCCTCAGTCATTTTAATCAAAGATGTCTCCTGACATTACCAAATTTGCCCCCTGTTTGAGAACCACTGGATTAACGTAATATCCAAGACATATTTAAAAGCATGAATACTGTAAAATAAATCCCAAACAAGCAAAACCCTATAACCAATAACAATAATAGGGTATTTTTAATTTTCCCTATGAAAATATGTAGACGAACTATCTACAAAAGGAAATATTTTCTTGATGTGTGCAAATTCTTGATGTCTGTCCTAAATACCAACTCAGACTTTGTTTAAGTATGTACTTTATTCACTGCTTTTATGTAAGTTGCTAAAAGCAAAAAAAAAAAAGATATTTTGGAATCTGGGGTTATTAACTAAAAATCCAGAAGAGGAAGCAAAGGCATTTTTGCTAGCAGCCACCTTCCCAGGGCCTGTGGCAACATGGTGAGTTTATACCAGTGGAGATATACAATTCTGAGGAAAGAGAATATGCATGGGGACTAAAGCAAATTAATTTCTGTCAAGAGCATTTCTATAATTACATCTGTGTAGTTATAGAGCAATATATGAGAGTAGTTTGAGCTAAACATGTATAGGTACATAACAGAGAGAAATAATAATAAATTACTTCAAATGACTTTAGAAAAGGAATTTCAAGTAATTTAAGATAAAATGTTTGTTTTTGCTCAAAATATTCTAAACGCTAAGACCTTCCAGATTGAAATACCTCTTCTTAAGAATAAGCAGAAGCCCAATCTTTAAATCATTCAAAGTTAAAAAAAAAAAAAGCCCCACAAACTAATGTAAAGTGTTAATAACAGGGGAAATAGGATAAAAAGTATTTGAAAATTCTCCTACCATCTCTCAATTCTACTATAAATCTAAAACTTTCTAAAAAAGTAAAGAAATGAAACATTTTTAAACAAGTTCATGAAAATAATATGCACTGGTATGGATCAATTGTCAAAGGAAAAATGCAGATTTAATATTGAAAATATTTAACAACTGATTTGCACAGGTACCAAGCAATCAGAATGGTTTGCAGATTATACGTCCATTTGTACTGATTTGTAGCAACTAAATATCAGTCCTGTGAAAAAACAAAGTACAGAACAGGGGTTTCCATATGTGCCAAGTTGGGGACAGGAAGGATGTGTGTGTGTGTGTGTGTGTTTGTGTGTGTGTGAGTGTATTTATATGTATTTGTATATGCATAGTTTAGAAATGTACACAAGAGACTGATAACAGGATCACCTCTGGTGAGGACTAAATTCACCATGTAATTTATTGTTTAAAGTGGGTCCATTTTGAGAGTAAAAGGAAGCATCATTAACAATTAATCCAGAACAATAGACAAAAACTCCAAGTGTCCTGGTAAGTCAGGATACATGACCCCTCTAGATCTGGCACCCTGGGGTTCAGGGCTTAAAGAAGGCTTACTTTTCATTCTATTACAATGATACATTGCTCCTGCCCCCCTTTAATTTTTTTGAAGTAAAAATAGCCTTGGAAAATGGAATGGATAGTCAATCTGCAGTGAGATTAGTATGGGAGAATGTCAAAATGTGTTTTTGCCATTTTTGTCTTTCTATCATGATCATTGGGAAAGAAATCATGCTATTGTTTTTAAGATGAAGGGTGAATCGGGGTGTTGGAAATTTTAACTAATACACTTACTAACAACAATGACAGAACAATTTTCTAAAACTAAACAGTCAGCATAAGTAGTAGAGTTAGATTTGCTAGACATATTAGTGTAAGCTCGGCTGTTACTGTTTCTTCAGTGTCCTACACAGGAACTTATTGCTCTTTCTTTCCCTATCTTTCAACATCCAGTGAAAAGTTTCAGTGTTTGGGAGGCCAAACTCAAGCATAGTAACTCTATTATGTTATCCAGAAGTATGTTTGTTTCAGTTACATTTATTTAATATTAAGACATAACATTAACATGTGTAGCCTCAGAATGTGGTCACCTGGAGAAAATTATGTTATGTGACTAATGAATCCAAAAAAACAGCGATGGCAGACAACCAATGGATGTATGCTATGTACAGTTCTTGATCTAAGAACTGTACATGCATTAACCCACTTAATCCTAATTAAAAAACAAAATCCTGTGAGAAATAGGTACTGTTATTATTCTCATTTTATAGATGAAGAAAACTAAGTCTCGGAGAGGTTAAGTAAGTTGCTAGGTCACATGGCTAAGTGGCGAAGTCAAGGTTTGAACCCAAGTCAGTAATTCCAGAGCCGGTGCTCTTAACCATGATGTCGCTCTGCCTCGTGGGTCTGGGCTGGCAGCTAAGGACCTAAGTTTCAATTCCAAATGAACCACTTCCACGTTTCCTAAACTAAAACCAGGATGTGGAGTTTGACAATAGGTTAGTGTGTTCATGGGTTTCCCCGGTAAATCCGAGGTGTGGAATAGGGATGCCAGTTAAATCCTTTGGTTTCTGGTTTCACAGCAGCACAGTGAGAGAGGTAGACTAGATGGTTTCTAACATTTCACTTGCTTTGCAAAAGTAGGAAACCCTCCTATGTTCCAGAAACTCTTTGAAGTGCCTTACAAATACTCATTTGTTTAATCTTCCTAACAGCCCTCTGACACAGCATTACTATTTCCATGAAAGAGGTGAGCAAACAAAGGCCCAGAGAATTTGTGTACCTTCCCCTAGGTTTAAAAGCTACTAAGATTCAAACCCAAGAAGTCTGTGCACTTAACCGCTCTGCAATGTAGCCCACTTGTTACAATCTAGAATGAATTAAAGACCTAGAATATAAATTACAAAATATAGAGTAAGTCTAGAATAAAGGAATTCTTCCCCAGAGAGACTTTCTTTGGTGGGGGGTTGGAGGATGGGGGGAGATGTAGAAAATGTTTGTGTCCTTCTCCTTTATGCACCTGGCATTAAAGTTTAGCGTCCTCTGCTGCCATGACCTCCCTGGAGGCACAGGTGAGGCCTGTCTTCTCCTGTCCACTCCCCTAGCACCTACACCTCTCCTCTTTCTGCTGTCTCCTGCCTGTTGTCTTCAGGATTGCTTGAGGCTTTGAGGAAATCATGGGGATTAAAAGAGCAGTCAAGGGAGGCAAGGTAGAAAACAAGATGTTTTCAGCAACTCAGATTTAGGGTTGTAAAAAAAGGAGCAAAATTCAAGCTGGAAAATGCTGCTCTCATCTGGTTTTCTCCTCCTCATGCCTTACCCCTATCCTGAAAATACACACTCTACAGTTTGGTACAGAGAGAAACTCCTGCTGAGGCACCATTTCTTTTCAATCACTGTTCACAGTATTCAGCTCAGTGCCAACCTTCATTCCCCAAACATAGACTAGAACTCTGAGGATGCCGGGCCCTGGTCTAGGTGTCATGGGGACACTAAGAGGAATGAGACAGTTTCTGGACTTGGAGCCTCAGACAGACCTGAGTTTGCACCCCTGTGCTCACAGTTCCTGTCTAGGAGCCCTTGAATAAGCTACCTAACATTTCTAATAATAATGGTTTCCATATACTGAGTCCATACTGTGGCCCAGGCAGACACTTTACAATTCCATCTCTAATGGGCATGCTAGTTCTGGCAGACATGTGTTATTATCCCCACTTTATAGGTTATACAACTGAAACCCCACAAATAAGGTAGGATTCAAACCAAGTTCCCAGGCTCTTTCCATGACGTCCTCCTACAGTTTCAAGCTCACTTTTCTGTCCCATGAAACGGAGTTCCGTAACACCATTCTCAAAAAGAATGAGATGGGGCCATATAGATCTGGGCATGCAACAGAATCAACACACATATTTATATACTAAATGGTGGTTCTTACTATTGTGAAAGGAAGTAACACGGGACACAGAGAAGTGCCTGAAGTGTTACACGAGCTAAAAGGAGAAAGCAAGTCTTCCCAACTGCACAGGATCTGGTTTTGAGGTATTTGAGTGGGGCCTTGAAAGATTAAATACGCTTGGGTGTGTGGCCAGACAGAGAGAAGTGTGAGAGGTAGGGAAACATTTCCTAGGTGAATTTTAAAGCAGGAAAATGGAAATTGTCATAGCTGCATGAGGATCTTTAATAATTTTTTAAAATCCTGAGATTTTCAAATATTTTTAAGAGATTTACAACACCATGAATTAATTCTTCCAGACTAAATGAGATTATAGTCACAGAGAAGGGTGACTGCCTGCTATCTTTACTAAGTAAAATGCTATTTTAGACAAAGAGGACAGAGGCTGTATGCCAGGACTTCCAAGGAGTGATAAATGTCATTAGAGACAAGAGGAGAAGTCTGGTGAAACAAGAAATGTGGATATGAGACTTCCCCGCTGGTCTCCACTGATGCTGGTCACCTTCCCTATGTGCCCTGGGCTCTGCCCCCTAGACAGGACCACTTCTGAAAGTGAGCACACTCCGCCTGCCAGTCTCTCTCTGGTTGAATCATTTGCACTGAATATTTGTGAATAATTAGAAAAACGTGTTGTATTACTTACAAAAATGAGTGTGTTTTTCTGCTACACCTCCTGTTAGCAAACCAACAGACCTTAAATGTGGAGAGGATCAAGACAACTCTTGCCAACCACAGAAATGTTAAACATGGCCATGCTGTATAAAGCATGCAATCTAAATTTACAGAAGAGCTTTCTTTCATTTTTTAAGTGCAGTTTCTATTTAAGTGTTTCAATTGTTATAATGTGGAAGAAGTCACTTATTAGTCACTTCCATATTTTTTCAAGTAAAACAAAATAGATAAATATCAAGAGTAAATCCAACTCTTAGCTGGAGCAACAGGGAGAGGAAAAGAAAAAGGTTAAGTTGTGACTTAAACAAAAGTAACCAAAACTCTCACAACTTATTTTGCCATAGAGGAAGATAAATGTTACAATATCTCGCTAACCAATCAGCAACGCTGCAGGCCTCAAACCAGGAAACCCTTTAAAGTGTAGTATTTTAAATTGTGTAAGTGAGACTTCTGGCTCTCAGCTAGTTTTTGTTCCCTGTGCTTGTAGGATGCAAAAACAGATGTGAAGTCCCTCATGGCGAAGTTTAACACAGGGGGCAACCCCATGGAGGAGGTCTCTGTCAACAGCCGACCCTTCAAAGCCCCAGGGCAAAACTCACCTTCAGGAGTGCAAGCTAAAAAGAACTTATTCAACAACCAAGGAAATGCCAGTCCTCTCTCAGGACCTAGCAACACACCTAGGTTTGGGTCCCCAAAGCCACCTTTGGGGGTGAAATCTTCTTCCGAGGAAAAGCCTGACAAGGAGCCCAAACCCCCACTTCTAAGGCCGACTGGAGTGGACCAAAGATTCGGACCGTCGGCAAACTCAGCTGCCAGAGACCCTGAGGCCAAGGTGGGATATCTGAGACCCGTGGGCCCCAAGCCCAACAACTTGCCCAGAGAAGATTCTAAACCTGTGCTTCCCCGGCCTCCCGGGAATAAGCCTTTGCTGCACGGTGTCAACCAAGACTCTGACCTAAAGCCACCAGGCCCAAAGCCGGGGTCTAATCCTCTAACCCAGGAAAATGAGCAGAAGCAAGTGTTCCCAAAGCTACCTGGGGTTAAAGGCAAGTTTATGTCAGCCTCGCAAGATCATGACCCCAAACCCCTCTTTCCCAAACCTGCCTACGGCCAGAAGCCAGCCTGGAGCGCCGACCACTGCTACGAAGACGAGGGTGGCCCCAAGGACGCATCTCTGCAGAAAGGGCCCCTGGGTCCCCCAGGAGCCAAGTCCAAAACCGGCCCCCTAAAGCCAGCAAGGGAAGACCCGGAAAATAAAGACCATGGAGGTGACACGTCAAGCTCGCCTTTCGCTGGAGTGGTTCTGAAGCCTGCGGCTGCAAGCCGAGGAGGCCCCGGCCTCTCCAAAAACACGGAGGGTAAAAGTGAAGATAGGAAGTTAAATGCTGCTAAAAACGTCTTCCTGAGCAAAATGCATCAGGAGGAGTCGGCGTCTGGGGCTCCTCCTGCCAAGTTCCCTAAGACACCTTCTAAGCTGACAGTGGCAGGGCCATGGGGCCAAAGCCAAGAAAAGGAAAAGGGAGACAAGGACCCAGCCACCCCGAGGCGGAAGCCCCTACCTCCCTTGTTTACCTTGGGCCCACCCCCACCAAAACCCAGCAGACCCCCTAACGTGGACCTGACGAAGTTCCGAAAAGCCGCTTCTGGAAACAGTGAGTTCTTTGTTCGTTTGCTATTTAACATGTTTTGTCCCACACAGGGTGTTTTAGCATCTGTGTAAAATTTTGTAACATTGAATGCGTCCATCACTGGTTCTGCTGTGCACATGATGACTTTCCTCGGCATGTTATTCCTTTGGTGTGGGAAGTCTGAAAGTCGAAATCCTTGGTTCTGTGTGAGCATTCTTTGAGAAAAAGCCTTGGTGGGATGGTTTTGGCGGTTGGGGGAAATACATCCACTTGATTGATAGATGGTTTTGCTTTCGTTTACTTCCTTACTTGGTTTTCATGTCTGTCGAATGAGACTGAGGTGTGTAAGTTACCCCTCCTACCACAGGGGAGTTAGACAGAAAATGAACCAGCCTCTAAGTCAAGTGGTTCTCAGTCCGGGGCCGTGTGGATGCCCAGGGGACATTTGGCAACGAGTGGCATCTAGTAGGTACAGGCTGGGGCTGCTGGACACCCCACAATGCACAGGACAGCCTCCCATGACAAACGCTCATGCAACCACAGCTGTCAGTGGTACGGAGGTTGAGAAACCCTCTTCCAGGTGATTTTAAAAGTCCACAAACTCATTATATGTTTCCTAAGCTCAATATTTGAGTGAGAGATAAACAGGACTCTTGTGAAATGGCACTTTCTCTTATACATTACAGCTCATTACTATTTCTCAGTATAAAGGTTTCTAGACCTTTCTGATTCATAAAGTAGGACATAACAAGGATAATAAGCCATAGAAAGAATATATTATTCTCCTAGGTAACTAGTTTAATTTTCTAACATATGTTACCACAATACTATGACACGTGCTAAAATTTGAAACCAAATGACTTAGGAAAGACATACAACTTTGCGTAAAGATGAAAAAGCCTCACTTACTCCAGAAATAATTAATATTTTAGGCAAATAATGTACAACTGTTGTTTATTGTGAGGAGGGAAGAAAGGATGCTTAGACGTGACCACACCACACTTAGACATATTTTTTCCTTCTAAAGCATGGTCTAGTTAAAACAGTTCTAGATATAAAATTTGTTTTTCTTTTTTGGCTTTATAGAAGCCTTTTGGAATATGTGAGTATTCTCAATGGTGATCAACAGGTTACTGGTCAAATCCCCCATCAATCTATCTTGTAGGAAGCAAATTTGGCATGACCCTGTGATTATCCTTCCATCTTCTAGAAAGAGTCAGCCCTGTTACACATGTGTCCTTGTCATCTGTAATCTTCTTATTTTAATACTGGTCCATAATTCAAAAATGTTAGTTTTGTGAAACCTTCTAAAAGATCCCTTCTTATTTTCCGTTATTAGTTCTTCAGTGCCTCTAGTGAAAAATTTACTGCCGTAACCTCCATTTTATGCCAAGGAAACTGTTCTGACATTAAATAGAAACCTTTGAAAGTTTTCTTCCACATCTTCCAGCTTTATTTTCACTCTACTACCAGGATTGGGAGTTGGTGACCAGTTGTTTGGTGTCATGCTATTGAAATGCTAGTGGAGTCCTTTTTCCAGCTCTAGAGTTCTGGTAAGGTCAACTCTGAGCTGATTTTCAGTGCAATAATGCTGCAAGGGACCCAGACAGAATTGCATAGTACACACAGGTGATCCTTGCACTCTTTCTCCACTGATTTGCAACCCTTTCCGCCCAGTCCTGACATGCCTCCCCACTCCTCCGGTGCCCCATGACAGTTTAGATTCTAAATCCTCTTATCTGTGTACCCCACATCCTACCACTGATTCCTTAGGATATACTATGCTTCAAAATGGACAATATTTCTTCTTCACTTACCTCTTACACAAATCAAAACTCAATTCTTAATCTGAACTGACCTCAGGTTGGTTTCTGAATAAAGCAATCAGATTCATAATTTTAAATTCAAAATAATACCCCTTTAAAGCATACACTTTCTCTTTAAGCATTTAATATTTTTAACTTTTTTTTTTAGTAGAAATTACATCTAGCTCAGAAAACAGGTATAATATGGTACTCAGTGAAAAGTCACCATTAGTCCTTGTTTGCCATTTGCTGGGTCTTTCCAGCCTCTGCACCACAGAAACCATTCTTCTCAATTTCTATGTCCATCCAAAGTTTCTTTATGTTTCCACAAGCATAATCTCACCACTGCTATTTTTCCTAAACCATCCTAAATAATTTAGTATTCCATTTAGGAAGGTTAAAAATAAACCATAGTTAGAAAGTATATAGTAGTGTCAAATATTGATGCTAATTCCCCTGCTTTTTACTCAAGAAGTAGAATACTGTTTGAAATACTTTGAGCCTTGCTTTAAAAAACAATAATAAATCCTCTGTATCTTTCCACATTTTAATAAGAGGTAACTCAATAATCTTTAGAGCTGCATAATATTCTGGTAAATGGATGACTTACCTAATTGATTTAACGGTCTATATAAACTTTAGCTGTTTGAAACCAGGCTGCAAAAAAATGACTTGTATATGTGTCATAAAATAAGTATTTATTTTCTGAACACAGAGAATTTCTTAATAGTCTAGTCTGCTGACCCTTGATCTCACCACTGCTATTTTTCCTAAACCATCCTAAATAATTTATTATTCCATTAGGAAGGTTAAAAATAAACTGGAATTAGAAAGTATATAGTAGCATCAAATTAATTAAAACTTCATCTAATAACTGTAGTTTTTCAAAACTCAAAATTATTTTCTTAGCCTTCTACCTAATTCCTTCTTTTCTAGGTTAACATCTAATTCCTTAAAGCTCTTCCCCACATCTATCCTCCATCTTCTATCATCTTTTTTATCATCACCAACATAGTGGCCATTAAATATATTTATCATTTATTGAGGATTTGTTATGTATTAGATATACATTACCCTATTTATTCCCCCCAAGAACCAAATGAAACAGGAATTCTTTGGGGAAACTAAGGCTCAGAGAGGTTATGTGATTTACCCAAGGCCATAACCTGACTCAGGGGCAGGACAGACCCTCATATCTCTCTGTGTCCCCCTTGCCCCCCTCTCTGCTGGGCTCCCTCTCTTGAAACGTAGATATCATGAGATAATAAATCAAGCGTAAGTGAGACACAAAGAATCCTCATTCTCCCTTTCTCTGACCTTTGGTTGAAACGTGTCTTATTTTTTTTTTTTTAACTTAAAATACCACTTTAAGGTCCATGAAGGTACCTACCCACCTGCTTAACATTATCTGTCTGGAGCATAGAAATAATATATTTTTGTTAGTTGCTCACGTTTGTCTCCCACCAAAGTCTATTTGACCACAATTAGTCAAAATGCTCCCTATAGCTTAGAAATTACTTGTAAAAATTAGATAACCCCTCCCAGCAGACTTGAGTTCAATTGAATGGAGCTTCAGTGCAAAATGAGTATTATACACAGGGTCTGTATTGTAAATGTATTCAGCTTGCTTTCTTGTAAACCATAAGCTTGAATGTAAAAAATGTAATGTGTTTCTTTCTGAAGATGCAGCTAATAACTTCCTTTCTTCCAGAACCATTTAAAGGTACAAAAGGCTACACTTACACAACAGGCTACCAAAACATCAATGTGTTCTCTGAACTAACCTTCTCTCTGGTTGCCTTCACTTCCTGGGCAAGTGGCAGGAGGACTTTGTCCCAAGCATCAGTGTGTAAACTACCAGCCAAGTTTGGGTTGCAAGAACCCCTGGCTTAACTGCTGGTGTGCACGTCACAGTTAATAAAAATCTGCTGGTACTTTTCCTGGTCTTGTTCTTAATACTGTAGAGAAACTAAACTTATTTTTCCATTTGTTAGCTTTAACAGTAGTCAGTTAAGCATTCTGACAACTGAAGAGGTAAGGCCAGGGTTGAAAAGGGCATTAACAAAGGGCTAAAGGTGTGACTGATCCCCTCCCTATCTGATTATATGTCACTTTAACTAGTCCAGCCTACAGCAACTTAAACCAAAGACTCATGGGCTTGTTTTCACCAACAAGTAACTTGTTTCCAGAAAGGAGCAGGATTTTCCTTCATAGACCCTGAAGCTATCACCTTTCTCCCTTTGCTTTTCTTTTTCATGTACTCTCTTAAAACTACCTTATTAGGAATTTACTTATCACATTTTATATCAGTGTATATTATTGCTCCAAGCCATTACAAGGAAAAGGGATTCTATGCTCAAACACATTTGAAAAATTCTTTACAGCAGGATTTCTATAAGCGCTGATACACTATTGTGCTCTTGGAATCTGAGAGAAAATACCTAAAAAGTAGATCCCAGGACATTTTTCCTGAAACCTCTCACAGACTAGGCTATTTCAGAGTCCTGCAAAGCTGGAAACAGAGCTCTGTGCTGAACAGACTGGAAGTTCCTCAAACATGTGGTTCAGCTTCAGGTGGCAATGAGGCCCTCCACACGTAGCTCTGCTTTCTCATTCTCCAGGTGCCTGGTGAGCACTCTATGTGGCTGGTACCCACTCTGTGGCTGGTATCCACTCCCACTTTCAGCAGGAGCTTGAGCCCAGGCTATTTCCCTCACCCTCCTCAGTCCTTGGGAAAGCAGTTTTCCATAAGACCTTTAGGTCTTCCTTCCGTTCCAGGTTGAAACTGTTGTGGAACCACAAACTATTCATTGGACAGCTTACCTGGGTTTGACTTCAATACAGAAGTGTCCCTGAAAGAGCATCCCCTCTCCTAACCAGATAAGTTCCCGGTCAGATCTTATGAGCTTCCTATTCTTTATCTTTCTTTTGGAGTTCTAAGCTTCTCACTTCTGCTCTTCTAAAATAAACCAGATTCTCAGTCTAAACCTTGTTCTCTTGAAAAAACCTCTTCCTGCCTGTATTATATCCCAACAGCATCTTTTGGCCTTTTTTAATCCAATGTTTTTATAATTTTTATAAGCAATCTACATGGTCTTTATTTTTATATTCTGGCATTTTAATCTACTGTGGGAAAGTCTGAGATAACATTTCCCCTTTAAAAATGATGTGTGTATCTATCTGGATTCTCAAAGAAATCTCAGTCCTTAAGGTATAAAC